GCTGGTGGCGGTGGCGATGGTGGCGTGCCTTGGGCCTGTAGCACAGTTTTAGGTCAAACAAATACGGGTTCAAACACTGAAATTATATTACCTAGATACTTGTATTAGAATTCTGAGCAGAGAAATAGCTAATAGTTAATGGGGTGGGGTTTTTTTTCCAAGAGTTTTGATAATTTAGGAGCAAAACTTGCCATTTTTACATTTTACAGCTAGATCCTCACTGCGATTAGCAGGTAGCACAACCTTCTCAGAATGTTTCGGAGTGATTCACATCACTGAATTAGTGGCAGTCATGTCACCTTTTCATGATAAATTTTCACAGCTGTAAGAGTTGGAAACAGCTTTTTTAAAATAAGCTCATCTTAGCTGAGTTCTCAGTACAGCAAAAGTGAGAGCAAACAAATCCTCCCAGAACCAGAACTCTGCTGGAATCTCCAGATCAGGTAAAAATTACTGAAGAGTTTAAATTCTGTGATGGGGAACGTATAATATAGATTAAAATTACACAGTCCTGATAAGAAATGCCACTCACCTACATTTTTGCAGCCCATTATTTGGCCATACAAAAGGAATAGTCAAAATACCATCACTTACATTGAGAGGATAATTTGAAAACAGTCTCTTTTAATGTACATTGAAATGAATGTTCACATTACACGAACTGACATAGAGGTGCATTTAGAAGCTGGTTGTAGTTTTAACTCGGGGGATGAAAACAGCAGTAGCTTGTTATTTCAGGTTCTGCAGCTTCAAGTTCTGTTTACATGCCCTTAGCTAGCTACAGAAATAATTCCTGATGAAAGGTTTTGTGGAGCATCTGTTCCAACCATGGAACTGTGTGTGTGGCAACCAGCCTATTGGAGTTTCACAATTTGTATTTGGTACTTTGCTATCCTGAAATTAATCTCTCACATTACAGGTTATGTTGACCAGGTTACAATCACGAGAAAAGCAAGAGCAGACTTTGGATAAGCACAAGCAGATAATGTTACATACAACAATGAAAAGGATTGGGTTTTTTAAAAACATGCATCATACTTGAGGATTTTTGTTTGCTTCTTTTCCCCCAAATAAAACAATTTATGTCTGGATTCTTTGGATTATTCCGTATAATCTGTGGTACAGGAATATTCCACCTCTTCAAGTACATGGATGTCAAGAGAAGGCATTATGACTGGGACAGATAGAGTTGAACATATGCATCCTGGTAATCTAAATAACACTGTAGGAGAATTGTAACACAATTTAGTTGTAGGGTTTTTTCCCAACCTTATGCAGGTATGTCTTCATTAATATACCTGTGTTTCAATATGATCATGGCACAAGTGAAAACTCTTATCCAGACTAATACACAGTCTTTTCAGGTTTCACTCGACATAGCTTGATGTTCTTTAAATCTGAAAGGATGTTAAATACCAAGGGAACTTAACTGAAGGGGTTCTTTTGTTTTGATTTTAATGTAGAAGAGTTGGGTGTCCCATGTTAAATTCATAACCACAACTTTAGCCTTGGCTGAAGTTCTCCCTCTCCCTGGGCAGTTCCTTCTAGGTACGTATCTCCTGATACAGAGTCTGCTGAACACATAACAGCCTTAGCCTTTCAGGTGAGCTCACTGTGGTCCCTTTCTGCCTGGACTCTGCTTCTATCAGAACACTCACAACAAAAAACAATGCCACAGGCACCGTATCCGTTGGGATAAATTCTCTTCCCCCATTTCTTCTGGTTTTTACTTTTAGTGCAGTAAATTGTGAAGTGGTTGCACAACATTAAAGGTACCTTTAAAACAGAATACTACCAAAAGGACTTCCCCTTCCTGCTTGAAACTTAATATAAATCAAAAGACTACATAGCACAGAGAAATCCTCTTGTTTTCTTTGAACAGCCATTTCTCCTCCTTTCTTTGCACTCTGCCCCGGTCTTCTGTTGGGCTACTAATGAAATACAATTATATACTGAGTAACATATAAGCAACCTTTTACTTAGGTCTATAAAGCCATTTCCTGCTAGTGGCTGGCATTCCGTTCTGCAAGTCATCAAAAGATTTTTGCAACACATGGAGAGATCTTTGCTACAAGATTCTGAAAGGAAAACATGATCCTCAGGTATAAAAGAATTTTTTCCGTACCTAATAAATTGCTGTGTAATTATGTTAGTGGAGGTTCTAGGAAGTTAGTCTTTCCTTCATAACCTTTTAACTGGTAGAGAGGTAATTTTATAGACGAGATTTTACATTTAATGAAAATAGGAGTTGAGCAGAGAAGAGAAACCTTATTACTCATCCCTGCGTATACACATAACACGTATTTAGACTCCAGTGACTCCAGCCGTGCCCCCAGCCACAAGATTTGATCCAGTGGCAGCTATGTTTCCTTAGCTTTATTGCTCACAGGACTATTTCCTTAATTTTGTAAGTGAGTCACTAGACTGTTGTACTCTTTTATTGAATTATATGTAATGTTGACTACCATGTAGTTTCTGTGGCATTTGACCACCATTTGTAGCCCGATCTCATTTTGACCTGAACATCATATTCACAAAGCTTGTGTATTGAAATAATTAATTTTAGAAGCTGAAATGTTCTCCAATGCAATGGGTTTGAAGCAGTCTGAATTGCTAATAGGATCTCCTTCAAAGATAACAGTGTTTCATAAATCAACTTGTTTGCATTTAAGCATGGGTTTGGCTTATTCATTCTCACTTTTTGTATTAGTTGTTTCCCATCTAATGCAAACAAGCTTGGTAACAGTGAATAACTACTCCATATCTGTCTAGAAAGCTGAGGGGGGTCTGAGAGTTTATAGAGTACAACTTGAGGCCATTTATTTCTTACATCTTCTATTAATATTTCTTTCCTGAATTTCCACTTAAGATGGCCACAAGCCTTTTCCTTCTTCAATGAACACAGTATACCAAACTTTCACATTATTAAGTCTGAATATCTCATGATCAATAGTGTATGGAAGTTGTCTGACAGCAGTCGTCTCTGACTACTTTTCACTGAGGCTGTGCAAAATACTTTAGGTAATACTGATTCTGATGTAGTTGTCAGCACTGCTAAAGGTATCCTAAACTCTCTGTTTAGCAGTGGCATGTCCCTTTGTGATGAAAAACCACTTTCATCTTTCCTAGTCTTTAAAAGACTATTATCAGCTTTCTTCAGAGTATCTGCTAAACGTTTGAAGTCCTGGAAATAGCATATAGGATTGGTTAATTTGGAGAGAAAGTGACCTTTTAGTGCTTTATGTAACTTAATCTCTGCGTCAGGTCGTCTACTTGATTTGGTGCCTTCAGTTTCTCTCTTCGGATGCTGAATTATAACTTGGACTCCAACTTCTCGGCCATGAGTCCTCAGAAGGTAATGTATTTTCCTGTTTTGTTTCCTGGTAGCAGTTATAATACAGTTTTCACTTGAGCGTCTTACCTTATACACTGTAACAGCATGCCTTTTCTTCTCTGCCTTGCTGTGATTTTGTCTATATTGATATAAAATACCCATTAGAGCATGTAGTAGACACCCTAAGAATAGAAGCTTATTCAACGTTTTCTGTGCACCTATACCTTTATACACCTCCAGACTCTTTATTTCAGACATAAGAAATCTGCATTCTGCATTTTCTTCTCTTTCAATTCCTGAAGTTTTCTCAATTAATTTTCTTTTCAATACAACCTTAAAAATCCTATATAATGAGCTGCTAGCTAACGTGCCATTATGGAAGCATTTCTGATTTGTGCTGGTTTCAGCCTCCAGTGCTAGAAATGAGTCGAAAAGAGAGTCGTTCAGTTCACGGTTTCTATGCTTCTGGCTAGCCAGACAGTCTTTCTGTGTTGTCAAGGCAGAAAGAGAGACGGACCATGTCATTTGCCTGCTCTTTGCCCGAGCAAGGGATTCCTGTAAGGAGCCAGAGAGTGATACATAATATACTGGGGTGATCAACAAATGCTTATGTGAATAAAAAAAATAAATCTCTAGAGAGGGCAACACTCGTTCAGCCAAGACACCTCTCTGGGTAATATTGTGGGATGAATACAATCCCTGACTGCTAGCATCTGAAATAGCAACTGGAAAATTTAAGGTAAGGTTTAAATCTCCCTCAGTAGTGAGATTTTCAGAAGAAAGCAAGACAAAAATAAAACCATCGGGGAAGGTCTCTTGCTTAATATTAGGGACATATACCAAACAAAGGGTAAATACTCTGCCTAGCAAACTTCTTTTAACCATTACAAATCTCTTAATATTTTCTCTTTAATTAGAATTCAAATCTTGTGCCAGCAAGCTGACCAATACACTAGAAGTGATGCCTCAGCCTTGTGTATCCTTACTATTTAAGTGAAAGAAGAAGTCAGTATTAGCTGGAGAAAGGTAGTTCCCCCCGTGCACACATATGGTGAGTGTATCTGAAACAAGCCAAAGTCTGGACATGTATCACAAGTATAAATTTTGAAACTGTTGAATCAAGACAGTCCCCAACTTCTCTGGGGAAATCCTGTGAAAAAGGACGATCTTATAAAAACATCATAGCATTACATCATGCTAAAACTGCTCTGATTATCTCATATTCTCTGTGCAGTGAAAAAAAGATGATTTAATATTTCCCATGCAGTAAAACCCAAAATCATCTCATGCTTCTACCTGTGTGTCGTTGAGAACAGTAACTTGTCATGAAAAATCTCATAAAATTCAAACAGAAATTAGTGATTTCTGTATAATTTTATACACCTTCAATAATACATAGAAACTCTGGTAAGTACAACTGTTTCTCTATGTCCTAGTGTGTCTTCTCCAACATGTAAGTAAGCTTCCTGTTTCAGTCTACTTTCATCTTGCTTGTGACATCTTCTACAACTATTGCATTCTTAGGGTTGCTGCACATGTTGTTTTCCCAGCATTCTTCCACTCTAAAGCTTTACTCTGTAATTATTTCTGAAAAATAAACAAAACACGATTTTAATGAAAGAAAACATCTTCCTCTGCCTCCTGTATGGAGCCCAATCCTTTACCTTTAAATGTACTCACTGATGCAGCCATTGCTGCTTGTAGTTTCAACCAGGTTGGCACCACACTCTGAGGAACTCGTCCTTGGAATGGAACCTTTCCTGATCATATGAAACAAGAAAACAGATGACAGGGAGAAAAAAAACCAAACCAAAACACACCCAGAGTGAAAAAAGTTATCAGAGAAGAGACAAATGAATTGAATAATGCTTCCACTGGAAAAAGTGACATGGATCTTCTGCAATTACTTTCCAATTAATACTCAACATTTTTGAGAAGCATGTATTTGAGGAAGAAGAAGAGAGATCAGAGGCAGGAACAGCATTCAGCACTACATGGCTTCTCTCCTGAAGTTCATGTTCTTGTTTGATTTCTCAGGTCTTTATTTAAGCAATTAGTAGATATCACTAAAGTATTTATCATGAACTCTCTTAGCATTTGGAAGTGAAACATGAGTAAGGTGTTATTTTCCACACTTCCTTGAGGAGAAACAGATCTTTTAAATAGAGCTGATC